GATCCTTTTGGTCCCCCCCCTCCCCAAAAACACAGGTCTGACCCACGTGCACAAGCGCAAGATTTTCCCCTGCCACCTCCTCTCGGTCAAGAACCTGCAGAGCCCGGAATCCAGGTGGGCAGCATGGGTGTGTGTTTGTGTGTGTGTGGTGTGTGTTTCCCCCATCCATGCAACAACCCCAGGAGCCGACTGGCCTCCTTCTCGGGAATGGGATGGGGGGGGAAGGGGAGAGGGTGCCTCCCTCCCCACGGCAGGGAGAAGCAGGACCGACCCTTCGTGGCTCTTCCACCGCTTCCCCTCTTGGCCGGCTGGAGCCAGAATAGAAACGGCCTCCCCCCCTTTCACCCCCACCCTCAAACCAGGCCAGAAAGGGGGGGGGTGGCCAGGGGGGTTGCATGCCCCCCCCCGCAGGAGCAGGCCTTCCTTCTAGTGCACAGCCTGTGGTGGGAGGGATTTCTGGGGAGCCTTGGTCCCGCGTTGGGATGCTGCGGCCCTCCCACCCCCGGTGCACCGTTTTGTAGCCAAGGCCTTCCCACGGGGGGGGGGTTGTACACATGCATGTTTGCACGTACATGCGTTCACATCAACACGACCGCTTTGGGCTCCTTTATGAGTTTGTTCGTGGCGCTCCTGTGGGGGCCAAGGGAACCACCCGAAGCCCCTTTTCTGAGCCCAGCCAAGCACTCTGAGCGGCTGGGGCTGAGGCCTCCCTGCTGGGCCCAGGCTGGCGAAGGGGAGGCCCCCCTCCCTCCCTCGGCGGGACCCCTGACTGTGGCAGGCGGGCGACCCTTTGGTTCAGCTGAATGGGGGGACTGAAGGGGGGCTGCTTGCTCAGGGCAGCCGACAGTGCAGGTGTAAAAGCACCCCTCTCCTGCTGCTGTGGGTGGATGGGGCCCGCTCCCTCGTCAGCAGATGCTCTGCAGAGGTCTTTGCTTTCCCTCAAAACGCCTTCATGAAGAGCATCCCTCCCTCCCTCCCTCCCTCCGTCACCCAGAACCCATTCTTCAGACAGATCTATATAGCAATTATGGAGGGGGGAGCGGACTGGCCAGCACCCACACGCCCTAGTGTCCACCTGCTTTCTCTCTCTCTCATGGCTCACTTTCTCTCTTTCTCTCTCTACCCCTCCACCCACCCACCCACACCTGGGTCCACCAGCCGATCCACCATCCTTGTGCAGCTGCAAACAGAGGACCAGCCGGAGATGCGCTACCAACCAGGCGACCACGTGGGCATTTTCCCTGCCAACAGCAGGGAGCTGGTAGAGGACCTCCTGGCACGGGTTGAGGACCCACCGCCCACAGAGGAGGCCATGGCTGTCGAGACCTTAGAGGCTGGCACAGAGGGTAAGCACAGTGGCCGTGGGGCGTCCTCTTAACCAGTGGTCCCCAACCTTGGGCCTCCAGATGTTCTTGGACTACACCTTCCAGAAGCCTTCACAACCACCTCTGCTGACCAGGATTTCTGGGAGTTGAAGTCCAAGAACATCTGGAGGCCCAAGGTTGGGGACCACTGCTCTAAACAAGGGGACTCACATTAAAATACAGTGGTGCCTCGCTTAGCAATTGCTTCGTTTAACGATCAAATCGCTTAGCGATGACTTTTTTTGGAGCGATCTTGTGCTCCGTTTAACGATGGTTCCTATGGGCGATTTTCGCATAGCGATGTTTGGGACCATGCTTCGCATAGCGATGACAGTTTGGGTACCCCTGTTTCGCTTAACGATGGTTTTGACAGCCTCATATTGGCTGTTTTTTAAATGTTTAAAAATGTTTAAAAATTTTTAGAATGCTTGAAATCATAAGTGCACTTAATAAACCGTTTGTTAAGCTAATTTGACTTTGTGCCAACTCTTTTTAAATTTGTTGTAATTTTTTTCCCCCATTGAGATGCATTGAATAGGTTTCAATGCATTTCAATGGGGGAACTGTGTTTCGCTTAGCGATGTTTCCTATGGCGATTTTCGCTTAAGGACGGCAATCCGTTCCCATTGGAACGGATTATCTGGTTTTCAATGCATTTCTATGGGAAACCGTGATTCGCTTAGCGATGAAATCGCTTAACAATGATTTTTTGGGAACCAATTATCATCGTTAAGTGTGGCACCACTGTATAGTCATTCGTCTTTAAAGTGCACAAATGTTTTTGCCTTTTTTACTCCCCACTCCCCACCCCATTTTTCCTGATATTCTGTACTGGGGCCACTTTGCCTGCCCTGACTCTGAGTCCAAAGGCTGAGGGAACCCTTGGCAAGGAGCAAAGACCCCCCCCTTCCCCAAAGGAGGCTGCTGGCCCTGTGAAACCAAGGGAGGGGGCTGAGAGAGTGCCTCTCATACACAGACCCCTGGTGGCCCCTCCCCATGGATTCTCCAGGCTGGGTGGGCAGAGGTCCCTGCATGGAGGGGACGCGAGGGGGTGGCAGCAGATCTGTGGGCTCCTCATTCCCAGGAAGGTTTGCCATCAGCAGCGAGAGTGGGAGCCTCCCAGAGAGGCAGG